TCCATACCTCACTGCTTTTGCATGGGCATAAATGTAGCATGAAAAAAGTCATGTTGAAAGAAATCCATGATAGTGGTCTACACACAGAACATTTTTTGTGGCGGGGAATTAACCCTACAAATCACTCTGAGCACATTGTTTCCATGGTGAAATAAACTAGTGGCATCTCATGTATGGGGGATTCTTATTTACCAGGAACAGGGAAGCATTGGAGTGAATTAGATGCTGCAATTTATTAGATACTGAGGTAAATCTTTTCTTTCCAACAGACAATAGACACAAATATCCAGATTCAGCCAGAGCAATGATGGAAAAGTTAAAGTATATGTTTTAGAATGGTCCAGTGAAAGTCCAGACCTAAATCCAAATGAGAATATGGTATAGGTTAGAATATAGGTTAAATTTGTTCTTTATTTATTAAAGGCTTATTTGATCCTGCATCACAAATGAAAATAATTCCTCATTTAAAAGGAGAGACCTCCTCAGGGAAAGGTGAATTAGGGTTTCTTAAAGAGGACAAACCTTAATTAAGAACAAAAACAGCATCAATAGAAAATCTGACACTAAACTTAACTCTTGTGTCCCTAACCTACTAAGAACACAAGAAAAACAGAGCTAAGTAAAAATTCTGGTGCTTTAATTACGAAGACATTGGCAGCATTCATCCGCCATCCAGTCTGCCTGAGGCTTTCTGTGTGATAGGAAAATGTTTCCACTTCCTAGATGCCGTAGATGTCAGAGCTAGTGACTATACACCTTAGAGGGTTAATAGGAGGCATGCATATCAACAGCAAATGTTTCTGTCTCAGGCTGGTAATAATGAGAAATCCTCTCTATCCACTCCAGGGATTCTGTCCTGAAATGATGTAACTGTTTCCATTACATCCTGAATTTAAAATTAAAACAATAATGCAATGCTCTCATTATAAATCACATTTTAAGATATTAGCTAACACATAACCTCCCCTGATCTCTGTTGTATCTGATTCTGCAGCTTTCTGTCAGACTTCCAGCCTCCGTCATTTGCAGCCTCTCTTTGCCAAAGGCAGCAACACTTCTCACTACCATGCCCTTCTATGGCAAACACAAGACAGAGGCTGGAAGGACCTGCTCCTCTGACATCATTGAAATGACGCCTACTGGCTGTACTGGAATGCTTGTTCTGCCCCCTTGTGACTAAAAACTGCAAATGAAGCACTTTGTAGTCGCCAACCAAAATAAGACTGTTTTGATTTTAGTTAATCATAGTTAATCTTTGGTCGATCTGTTCTGCTGCACTTTCGTAAAAGGAAAAGTTAAACGCCAACAAAGTCACTTTACTCTTTAAGTTAATTTTAAGTTAATCTAGAAGATTTGGACTTGGTTTATGATGCACAAGTACAGAAAGAAGACCAAACTGCCACAGATACCACCCAACCTATCAATGCTCTGTTTTCCCCACTCCCATCAGGAAAATAGCACAGAAATAAATCAAAAACAAGTACCTCAGGAATCGTGTTTTTCCAAAAGTTGTGAAGGGAATCATCTCCCTACAGTAAATATCCCTGCAGTAAATCAAAGGAAGGTCCTCCACTGTTCTGTCTCCATTTCTCTTCATCCTCTACACCTACAACACAGACAGCTGCCTTCTCCAGATGTTCTCCTATGACTCAGCCATTGTGGGCAGTGTTTCTGAGGGGAACGAGCCGGAGTACCAATCAGTCATCATGGACTTGGTGGACTGGTGTTAGAGCAACTACCTGTGTTTAAAGACAATTAAGACGAGGGGGATGATAATTTACTTCAGGAGAAGACCCACACCTCATTCTCCCATGAACCTCCAGGGGCAGGACATAGAAACTGTGGAGTTTCAAATACCTGGGTGTTCCCATCAATGATAAACTGGACCGGACTCATAACACTGGCGCCCTGTACAAGAAGGGCCAGAGCCGCCTCCACCTCCTGAGGAGGCTGAGGTCCTTTGGAGTGAGCAGGCCCCTGCTTAAAACCTTCTACTGTATGACCCTGTGGCGGCATAATTCCTTCACTACGCTGTTGTCTGCTGGGCCCCTGGCAGAGCAGAGCAGTACAGAAAGAGACTGAACAAGCTGGTGAGGAGGGCCACTTTTATTCTGGGCTGCGCTCTGGACTCAGTGGAGGAAATGGCAGAGACGGTGCTGTCAAGCTTACATCCATCATGGACAACACCTTTAACCCCCTGCGCCAGACTGTAGAGGAGCTGAGCAGCTCCTTTAGTAACAGACATATCGACTCCTGCATGTCATTCATCCCTGCTGCCATCAGACTTTACAATGCCACTGCACCATAACCTGGTGTAATAACACTGCAATAAACAACACTTCACCTGCCACCACTTTACTGTACTTAAGTTACTGTATATATATAAGTCACATTAACTCTCTCCTTCATTTTTACCATCCACTGTATATACTTCATGCATCTTCTCCTCCTTTGTGTACCTTCTGTTTGTTTATAAGCGCTGTCACAAGGGAATTTCTTCATTCTGAGATCAATTAAGTTCTATTCTATTCCCTGCCGCTCTCTCTCTCTCTCTCTCTCTATGTGTATATATATATATATATATATATATATATATATATATATATATATATATATATATATATATATATATATATATATATAAACCTGTTGTGAAATAAAATAAGTATTGTTTTTATGTCAGCTTCTTGACTCTTCTGTCTGGGTATTTTATGTGGATTTTGACTTGGCATAACAGCAAAATTTCATTATGACATTAAAGCCTCTTATTTCTTCTTGCTTCTATAGGAAAGCTTTATAACACCTTGAGGATTACAAACATTTCACTTGTTTGTTTTTATTAAATTTAGAAATATGTTATGCTTTAGAGAAATGTGTCATTCTTATTGTCTTTTTATGTAATAGTCATACTATTTGTAATCGCTCTACAGTGCCTTAATTACCATTTTAGAAAACATTTTTTCAGATCGTTTGAATACTTTAATGTTTTCCCTGAACATATATGTGTCATTGTATTAGGACCATGTGAAGCTAGATGGGTGATTGTAACATGTATTAAAATTTTATTTTTTATTATTTGTTTGGCATTCATTTCATTCAATACCTGTTGATTTTCAATAAAATTTTTGCATCAAACTATAAAACATTCATTTCTCCTGACCGGATTGGAATTCAAAGTTTCACTACTGTGTTTAAACAGGGGACTAAGTTTAACTCAGATAAACTCACTCACCTCTTTCTATAGCTGTGTTTTGTATTATGCTGACGTTTTATGAACAGATTCTAAAAATGCTTTTCTATTTAGCTGTTTGATTCTGTGTTTGTAGCAGTTCTGAACACAGTGGAGAGGTAATGATGCCGATAAATAACCTACTGCAGCCACAAGGCGGCAGTACATCTTTGCTGTTGATAGATAATAGCTGTAAGGATGAATAGTTCTGCTTTGAACATATTTGAAGTTTGAATTCAATGATCATCTTTACAAACTTATGCAGACATGAATAAGTCATTGCACATTTTTTGTGATTTACAATGTCTCATGTCATTGTCTCTAAAATTATTACAGTGCTCAGGGTAACAAAAATCCTTGATATGATAAAGGTTTACTCTGTATTTATTTATTACTTGTACCTTATTAAACATATTCATAACTCACTCCATAATAGTTGATGCTCTAGATTAATTTGATGTTGGAACTTTGCTTCCCATATTATCTACGGTTTTTTTGTAAAGTAAAGACTTCTGAATAATTACTTATGATAAATTTCTCTCCACTGAAGGTAGAGTTTGGTAGAGTACCCAAACATTATACTTTAAAAATAGAGTAAAATGAGCACTAGTTCTACATGTTTTTATATAAAAGTTAAAAAGTAGCCATCCAATACTTAGGAGTGAAAAAACAATTGCCAAAAATGCTATTTCACTGCTCTACCCTGATTAAATGACTAGTTCTGGTAAATTTATTTACATTTTTTGTGAACTGCTTAGGATTAGATGCAGTCTCACAGCACTGTTGCCTGGTTACAAGCAGGTTCTGGGTTTGAAACCCTAATCTTTCTCCCAGGAGTGTGCGTTCTGGTCACTCCAAATTAGAACATGTGTGGGAATGTTTTTGTCTCGTCTTTGTTGCCATGTGATGGATAGACAACCTTTCCACATTCGCTCAACGGGCGCTGAGTTTGTATTAACGATGAATTGAATATTATCTCCAAGAGTTTCATGTGTGTTTGTGAAATTTTGTTTACTGCAATAAAGGAAGAGATGATACAGTCTTTGTTTACAATGCTAGGTTCCATTTAAGTGACCAAGGAGCTATAATACCGGGAAAGGAACAAAGGAAGTACCCTTTGATTGCTCTCTAAAAATAACTCTTTGGAATCAAACTAGGCCCATCCTGGGGCTCCAACCACTCTGTTTTTTGCTGTTACCTGGTTCTTGGCTAAATGAAAGCTACTGCTTTGTACTTTGCTGTCTCAAGAGTGTTTTGTACAAAGTCTTTGGTTGTTTCCTGTTGACATTGTGCAATACTTTGGTGTGTTGATTCCAAATATTGAGGTATTGACTCCACTTGGGCTCCTTCATCAACCGGTATGGGTCTTACGATTTCACTACACCACATATGACAAGTTACATTTTTCTTGAAATAAGTACATTTTCCGATGTTTCTAGCAGTTAAGACAATTTACAAATTGAATGAGGTTTTTAACATTTTAAAAAAGAACAACTTTATCAAATTTAATGAGCAACAATAATCATTCTATTTGTAGATTTCTTTCTATTTACCTGCTCAAATTAAGGGAAAATACATTAATTTTAAGAAATGTATACTTTTTAGATCATCTTATGCACTAAAAAATGCAGAGACTCTGCTTTAGAATACATTTTTGAGATAAATATAAAATTTGTATGTCAAACATTTCAGGAATTCCACAAGATTAGTTAAAAAATAAAAGTTTTCTTACATTAATTTGCCATTCTGTGCTGAACAAACAACTCAGCTGCACACTAGACTCTTTATTGTCACAATGAAAATAGAACATTTCCATTAAGAATTACGGTGAATAAAGGCTCTACATTTACAATATTTTTCAAATCCATCTTATATACATTGATTTTTTTTATTATTATTCATTTTTAACAGAAGATAACAACTATTATTCAAAGGTTCAACAGAGAAAAATATCACTTTGTTAAAACCAAACCCTCAACACATTAAAGCACCAATTACTCAAAGGCTTAAAATTAAAAGTTGGCTCAAAAAACATGGAAAATAAATCCTGAAGCTGCCAATAAGTGAACAAAGTGCCCAAAATAATTAACCACAGTGACTTGCGTGTTTTAACTTTTTGATGTTATCAATGTTTAACTCCTTTTCTGAATCAAATGTGAATTAGCTAAAGAGACAGAACATATGCGGTCTTTTGGTCTGTGTGTCACATCTCTCTGTCTAAAGTCAACTTAAGGCTGAAGTTAAGCAAAATTAAAAGATGAACAGACTTTGAAAAGCTGCAAATCACTGAAGACACAAATGTAAAATAAATGAACATTTACAGCACAGTTATTACATTTAATTAACATAACTGTTTCGTTTTCAGACTGCTAAATATAGTTGATCAGAGAATATCTTTTATGTGTCACCAACTTTTACATACGCAGGAATATCAGATTTTAACCCTATAATACTCAAGGAAATATACACAACATATTAAACATATTTTTTTTTTTCCATGAGAACTCTGCACTTTTGGCATTTTTTTTTTCTGCAGCACAAAGGAACATACACTGAATCAACTATACAATGAGATATTTTTCAATAGAATAGAATTAACCTTTACTGTCATTACATTGTCACAAGTACATAGCAACGAAATTCACCCTCTGCATTTAACCCCTCCCCTTGGAGAGCAGTGGGCTGCCATTGTGCGGTGCCCGAGGAGTAGTCTTTTCCAGGGTAGGAACACTGTGGTAAATGGCATTGACATGCGTCACAAGACACTGGTACACACTGTAATAAAAGCTGGTTGTCATGTGTGTGGGATGGTATTTGCTTCATGCTTCCTGTACTGAGGCATGTACAGTGAGCTACAAGCTTGCAGTAGCTTACTGGGATCCATAACTTCCTCCTGGTTGAGCTGATGATGCAACTCCACATGTGCAGTTTTCAGGAGCTCGCTTTTTGGATTCTCTTCCTCACTTTCCTCATCCTCCAGTGGATGTCTAATTTCTAGATAGTTTAAAGGCTTGTCTTGCCTCATATCTAGTTCATTTTCTTTCTCTGATGTTTCAGAAAGCTTTCTGAAAGAGTTGTAAGAGCCAGAGTGTCTTTGATCATCCGATTCTGTACCACGACAGCTGTCCAATTCCCACAGTCCACTGGTGACTGATTCAGAGGTATCAGAGTTGTTTGCTGAGAAGTTTCCTTCATCGCTAGAGCTGCTCCGACTTCCATCATTGTTGTGGAGACGAGGAGGCAGGTGTTCCTCCTTTGCATCGGTGAGCAGGACCTTTGAGTATGTCACTGAAGACCGAGCAGAGCCGTTAGTGGACCCTGAACCCTGTTCTTCCAAGGCACTGCCTGGCTGTAGTTTATAACTAGTAATATTAAAATTTGTTACAGATTTAGGAACACTGGCTTTATCAAAGACTAGGTCACACTCCAGCAGCTGCTCTTTTCTTGGATTCAAGTATTGCAGAACGGTGTTAGTCGAAGGAATAAAAGAGTCAGGAGACATTGAGGTCTGGACCAGGGCTTCTGTCAGAGCTTTGTTCCCGACAATAACTTTAGAGAACTTCTCAGTCGGTAGAGGCAAGGCTTGCAGACCTTCTGAAGATCGAAACATGTACTCAAAGTTTTCCATCTAGATAAAACAATAAATGTATTTCAATAAGAGCAAGATAGGGTGTTTGACATTTCTCTCATTTGAGATGTAAACAGTGTTAAAACAAGGCTCTCCTGGTTAGAATCTATGCCATTTAGCTGTAACAGATGGTAGCTGAGGAAGTTTGATCAGAAAGGGGCTTCTGTGAAACTCAAGCAAGTATAAAGAAAGCTTATTCTGTTGACTTACATTTTTATATATTACTTAACATCTACAATCAAACAAGTTAATATCTGTCACTTTGTTTTATTCTTCCTGATCTCCTTGAGGCTTTGTAGAATCCAACTGAAAAGTCACAGGAAATCTAATTTATAGAGCAGTTCTTTTACCGTTTTAGGGTCTAGTCCTTTAGCCCATGAGCAATTGTTTGGGTTTGGAACATCCTTCCATATGATTTTTTTCATCCTGCCAGAAAAAATGAAAATACTTATGTTGGATTTTGCATGAAATGACTTCCATATTCCATTCTCCTGTCTGATTCCTCCACCTCTGATCAGGAAGCATCAAATGTTATGACATCCCTTAAAATGTCAGGCACCTAAATTAGACCACACAGCAGGGATTAACTTAATTTGTCATTTCTTACAGCAGTCTGACTAAATGAGAGGATTCGTTTTATATTGATCTGCAATCAGACATTCAGGTCAGAACATAAAAGTTCATTTATCAAGATTGATAAGAAGAAAATAATGCTCTTACTGGTTTTGGGAGAGAACCAGGATCAGAAATACAGCAATGCTAATAATCAAGATGAATATTAGCATGATGTAGGTTGGAGATGTTCTTGTATTTACTGTAATAAAGTGAAAATTCACATCAGATATTTAGTAATACACTCTAATTTCAGGCAGTTACTGTTGCAAAACCAGAAATGGAAACGGAACATACGTAACGTGGAAATGCGTTCTCCTTCTCCATCAGCAAAGACTGGATATAAGTGAAAGTCGTACTCCTCCGAACTAAAAAAAACTCCTTTAAAGCAAACATTGAAATAGACAAGTTAGTGGAGAAAAAACCTGGTAAATATCAAAAATTATCACCAGTTTCAGTGGATGGTTTACCTCGTAAATGGACAGGGGGGTTGGTGTAGGGCAGCCTGGCCCATGTTTGTTTGCTCAGACCAAAGTCTTTAGAGTCCTGCTCCTTTTTTGGGAACCACTGAACCACAAGGAACAGGGGAACAGGTCTAATGTGCAAGAGACTCCAGGACAGAGACACACAGGTGCTGTTTATAAGCGAAACATGGATTGAATGGATACAGCGACCTGAAGAAAAGAGAATAAACGATGCCGTCAGATAGTACAGGTGGACTGATTTTTGATGCACATTAAACAAAGTAGGAGGAACTGGATAATTTATTAATTCATGACTAATATTGATTGACAATGTTTACTGCAGATTGTCATTCAAAATCAGAACTCACTTATCTTTAAGTATGTTGCTTAAAACAATGAAAGGACACTTTACTCTGCTATATATATATATATATATATATATATATATATATATATATATATATATATATATATATATATATATATATATATATATATCACATTTTGTTGTATTTAATCATAATCAGTTGCAGCTATATAGCAAAGCATCCAGGCTGTCATAAAGGGAGGTTTGCTAATGATCGCTTCACCAAGGAGATTAGTGCAAACAAAACAACCTCTGCACCAAGATGAAGGACACAAGAAGGGATCTTATAACAATCGAATACCTCTTCTCCCAGTCAACACCGCTAAATACCAAAGGAACCTGCTGTAGGACTCGGCAGGTTGAGGTAAGCGTGATGTGAAGTAAACGTTTCATCTGGGCAATAACACCTCAGGCTTGGTCAGAAAGGTTGATTCAAGATATATGTCCTGAGGGCCTTCCGCAGGGGTGTTACAAGATGGGTCATGGACCCCTGCAGTTCTGCGTCATAATAGTATACCATACAGGGTTGTTGCTTCACAGAGAACTCTGGGCGGCTACTGGAGATAAGTCCAAGGACAGACAAAGCCAAAATGGCCTTCAGCTTCAAGAAAGGTTCCAAACACCCACCAGATAGAATGATTCGCTCAGAAAAGAGGCTGTAGAGCAACTAGTGTGGAAAAACCAGGGTGAAGAACAGCTACTTCCAAGACACTATAGAGCTCCTTATTGCGCAGCAGAGTGTTGGCCTGGTGGATAGAGCAGGTGAATTTCTCTATTGTGAGATCAATAAAGTTCAATTATCATTATTAGTATTATTAAAGGTATAGAGGAGGATTTTCTCAATTTTTTGCAAAGAGCCACCCTCTCCACTTTAAAATAAAAATGCACATACACAACCCTGTACCCGCTCTCGAGAAAAAGTATTTCAAATCAAAGAAGGGCCCGCTACTAAAAGTTTGGGAACCACCAGCTTAGACTTATGTCAAACTAACTGTCATTGAGATCCGTCTGTATCTATATATACTAGACCAAGGGTCGGCAACCCGAGGCTCCAGAGCCGCATGCGGCTCTTTAGCGTTCCCCTTGCGGCTCCCTGGAGCTTTTTCAAAAATTTCTGAAAATCGAGTTTGTTTTTTTTTCTTTTGTTTTAATATGGTGTGAAGGAGGTCAAACAAGAAATAATTATGTTTTCCAATGCTGTAAACATTTGTATAATAAATACATTTAAACAATAATTTGCTTCATAGCCATAGAGATCAATTTAATTCAATTCAATTCAGTTTATTTATATAGCGCCAAATTCACAACACATGTCATCTCAAGGCACTTTACAGTTCAACCAGATCATACAGTCAAATTGATACAAAGTTTTCTGTCTAAGGAAAACCAGTTGATTGCATTGACTCATTGACTCAAATACAATCCCTCACACTAAGCATGCTTGTAGCGACAGTGGAGAGGAAAAACTCCCTTTTAACAGGAAGAAACCTCCAGCAGAACCAGGCTCAGTGTGAGCGGCCATCTGCCGAGGCCGACTGGGGTTCAAGGAGACGGAAGATCAGTGGTCATAACTTGCAACAAGCGCTGTGCAGGCCAGGCTGCTGGAGTGTCTCGGACCATGGATCCCAAAGGGGAAAAAAGGAAGATAGCTGATGAGAGAAGAGGATTCAAAGGATGGACCGAATCATTTTCTTTCATTAACAATGCGGAACGATTGCCTGCATTTTTGCTTGGTAATGAGAGGTTGGCAAAAAATAAAAATAAAAATTTGGAAAGGCATTTCCAGGGAAGGCAGGCTAAATATGCAGCCAACAATTGCAGAACTTCTGGATAAAGTAGAGGAGAGCAAATGTAGATTTAAGAAGTGGATTACATCTCCAAACTCCACTACTGCTGCTAGTTTGGTTGCAAGCATGGAAAACCGTCCACAGATCGAACAGGTAGTGCTCTGATGCAGGGATGGGAACTTTCTTCCATTTTTTCCCCAAATCCTAAAAATATAAATCACACCAAGGAACGCAGGGATGGGGGATTTCAGAGTAAGAGAGCTCTGCTCTGATGGGTGTCACTTCCTGCTTGGTTCCTCATGACTCAATCAACTCCTCCCAAAAGAAACATAATAATACACTTAGACCCCGTGTTTCCATACGAGGCATGTATAAGACTTTTACATTTTTGCGGCTCTAGACGGATTTATTTTTTGTTTTTTTGGTCCAATATTTCTCTTTGAGCAGTTTGGGTTGCCGACCCCTGTACTAGCCATAGTATAAGTCAAAAAGTATTAGTCATACTACGCCATGTTCCAGAATACATTTGAACACTGATATTTACATAGACTATATAAAAACTCTTCCTGACATTTTTCCTGATTTCTATTTATGTTTCCTGTTTTTAAACACCTCTTTTTTTCCATCTTATGTAAAACACTTTGTGTCACCCTGGTGCACAAAAGGTACTTTATGAGTTCATTTAATTTACTTTGTTTAACCAAATGAAGACCACATTGAGATCACAATTAGGAAGTCTAATTGGCTGATTCAACAAACAAGAAACAGGCAAAACAAATTACGTATTCTTGGGGACTTATTGCTAATGGGGACATTTCTAACTGTTCAGTGAATCATTATTAGACTGTCCATTTCAAGGAAATAAAAATAATTTCTATGCTGCCAGCTTCTACTTCTGTAAACATGAAGATAACCAACACATGGGAAACTGTTATTAAAATGCACGGTCAAGCTTCACCTTAGTGATGCATTACCCAGAGTGCAGGCATTACTAATGCTGAAAGGCATCAATTTGGGCAATGTAGGGGATAGCACAGGGTAATATTCTAATGCTTAGAAGGATGCCTGTTTTCTGCACATTTTCCTGGTGTTGTATTTTTGATGTAAAACAAATATAATCAGGAAGTAAGAAAAAACAGACTGATTTCTCACACAAATAAAAAAAAAATCATTATTGGTCATTACATGGACAAATTCAGGGCTTTTTGCTTAATTTTAACTTAATTTAACTTAATGCTTTGTTGCCCTGTAAGCTGCTGGTAACCTTAATTTCCAGAGGGAGTCTTCTCAAGGGATCAATAAAGTCCTGTCTAAGTCTAACTCTAAATCTATATCCCACAGATTAAATCCACAGAATATGTTTCTTCCCAATGAATATCTACCTTTGTCAGCTCTTGGCTGTTAGCTCCAACTGTCATTAATGGCAACTCCACACATTGTTTTCTCTTATCAGATTTGTGGGTCATATGAAGACCGACAGATTATGTTGAGTCTTTATTTTTAGATGCAACTCATTCAAAGAAGGTTTACCTCTCATACAGATTAAATTATGTTTAATCTAACAGAATTTCTTTTAAGATTTTTCGCAAGCTATAATGGTAATTATGGAGATTCAGACGTTTCTGAAGAATATCCATGCTATGCTCCAGATAAAATGTTATATTTTCTGATTTGCTATCTTGAGTAGAACAATATCATACGATCATCTCATCATATAGATTATTTAAGAAATGATATTACATTTTTCTGAAGTCGAATTTTTAAAATTTTGAATCCATATTCATAAATCACTCATCGACACATTGTATTTTAGTATTAGAGCTGTTTGTATGCAGCTGTTTATCAGCAGCTGCTTTCTATCAAAGCATAATCTCATCAAACACTGATCAGGATCTTAAAAATTCTTACAAATTATTCATGTTGTACTGTAGTAGAAAACTAAGACTAACAACTATGTACATAATTAAAATGTATTTCACATAATCATGTGATGTAATCTCAATCAAACAAACATTAGATTTGTGATTGCTCCAGTATTTGCAGTGAAACAATGACTAAACATTTCTTCTGGATCAAGTCTACATCTCAACATCAAGGCCTATTATTGTTGTGCACTAAGTATATTATTATCGCTAAGGGATTGCTGAAATGTCGTTTTAGTCTCTTCTCTCTTACGTTTAGGCTGATACTCCAGCGTCATGTTGACGTTGTTAACGGAGCTCCCCAGACTGTTGTAGGCTTCCACAGTCACAATATGGAGCTCGTGATTCCACTCAAAGCTGTAGGAGGACATTATATCAATCCGCCTCCTCCGTTTAGATCCATGCGAGGCCTGGTGCTGGACAATAAATCCATCCACACAGTAGGAATCCCAATTTGGTTGGAAAGTCTGCAAAACATAAAAAAAGATTTACTGTTACGGTGACCATTACATGCTATTTATTGTTTTTAATTAGTGCCTCTTATGTTAGAGGTCCGAAAACTTCTTTTCTGTAATTGACTGTTATTCTGTAGCAGTATTATCATTCATTAGTAGCTACTTCATAACAAAAAGTAACAAGATGGTTAAAAAAATATATTCTGTGGCAATCTATACAACCAATGGGTGGAATAAGTGCATTCTTACAGCCTCCATCAGATTTGAAAAGTAGTGGATTGCTGAAAATCCTATTTGATTACAAGCAAGAATTTGGGCATTTGCTAGCCTGGAACCTGTAGATGTGTGTTAACACAAAATGGAAGGAGGAAGGCTACATTGCCTATTAATCTGGGAAGGGTTTAGGGGTAATTTTCAGTGAATTTGAATTCCATAATTCTATTGAGAAAGGTTGTTCAAAGTTGAGATAAAAAACTAAGACATCTTTTCAGGGAGTGGACGTCCCAGTGAGTTCAGCCCAGACACCCTTTCGAGTATGCGTACCAAATTGAACTTGCAAAATAAAAGCAACCTGTTCCAGCATGACTTCTTTAAAGGGGCTAGCATGAGAAAGTCCCTTCTATCAATATTTTCTCATCTGGTTAGGATCCCATCTGAACCATTCTAAAAAAAAAAACTGGATCAGTGTTTCCTCTAGGATTTATTTTTCACTGTGTTAGTGGACTAAGGTGGGTCATGTGTATCTGAAACAAATGCATAATTAACACAACTGTCCTTAATTTCTTGCTGAAATCCATCATATGTTAACCTTAATTCATGAGGTAATGTAAGAATTTTTATAAACTGCCAAAATCCCCACTTCATATTTATGATTTTATCAGGACAGTTATCAGAGGCACACACTTTACGAAGTAAATAAGTGTATTAAGAAGTGTGGTAATCCTGCATATATTTTTGTGCAACACTTTCAGAGAGAATAGACATGATTAAAATATTATATTTATATTCAACTTTGTAACCCAGGGAGGAATCCAGACTGCATGCAGCTGTCTGTGAGACAGCGATTAGGGAAGCAGGGTGAGACTCACTGCAGCTCTAGGTGCTGTGATGAGACAGCTATAATAAGCTGATTGCCACTTTTAAGTGAAGTTGCTAAATTTGCCAAAACACAAGTCAATAGATGTGTCCCTAACTTCCTGAAAAGTCCCCAAATATAGTAACTAAAAAGTTGCTACTGTGGTAATGCTGGACTGTCATCTCTAGTTTTCCTCCACTACTGAGAAAAGTGTGGCGTACTCTGGTCATCGTTTAGCTTCATATACTTGTCAGCTTCACAGCAAAACTCGTCCAGCAGTGTTGGTTTTTTTGAAACAAAGTAAATTTGAACAGTTCATGATATTTTAATTAATTTAAAATCTGATTATGATTAGAATAATTGCTCAAATATATAATATGTTATAACACACATTTTACATTGTGTTAACATTTCGGTACTATTTAAATGTAATTCCTTTTTTTAGTTTCAGTTGTTTAGAAGGTGTGCTAGTCTTTATTTTGCTGTCAGGTGTCTCTTGATCAATTACATGTAGCAGAAACTCTGTGGATGATCCTACATCAAACATAGATTACTTCAAACTCGTGGTGGGCATAGATACATTTTCTTTTTTTTTATGGATTTTCTACAGGTATACAACAAGAACATGACAATGATTCATGTCCTTTAGTGAAGGATTATTAGCACTTGTCACAAAAAAACAGAAAAAACAAACAAAAAAATTAGACAAACAATAAATAATAATATATAAAAAATAATTTGTTCATTTACACTTTAGACATACTGAAAGTAAAAAAAAACAAAAAAACAAAACAAAAAACACTTTATGAAGTTTCAACCAGTCAATTGAAGTGTCCACACCTTTATCTATGACAAAAGGGGTAAAGACGTACAAAAAAAGAGGGGGAGATAGGGGTTCTTTATGGCTTCAGTTTTTCTAAAATGGGTTTCCAAATTTTGTAATATTTTTGAGGACAGTTTATTAAACCAAATCAAATTTTTTCTATGTGCAGAATTCCTGTAAATTCCTCGATCCAAGATTCAAAGATTCAATCCACTGCTATACATTTTTTTTATTAGATTATCTCACTGTAATCTTGGAATTAATCTAGATTAAAATGGCTCATTTGAATTCTGCCAAAGGGCTTCATGACTCAGAATCAGAATTACTTAATCCCTTGCCGGAAATTGTTTTCTTGGAGTGCAATCGTTTACAGAAGAGAGAAAAAAAAGAGAGAAGTATAAATAAGATAATAGAATAAAATAAGATAAGGGTAGGAATAAAATACGATAAGAATAATGTGTGTGTGCTACCTAGTACAGACCCAGCTACCAACCAAACTTTAAAAATAGATTAGCGGTGATATTTTGTTTATGGCCCGGTAAGAGTCTGGTGTTAACGCAGCACCTTAATATCGTTAACGGCTCGCCAACATGTGTAAAAATGAAGCCTTTTCTCTATTTGTGAAAAAACAAAAAAAAAAACGGGTTAGATCATTAGCTACATTTACATGGACATAAATAACAAGAATAATCAGACAAATGGACTAATGATGTACCATGTAAACATGTCAGTAAGAATATTCTGATCAGGTTTGGAAGAATCAGAAGGAAATTGTAATCCGAATGAAAGGGCTGGTTAATGTGGATTTACAATCAGAATGTAAACATTGAACAGGATCACATTGTTTCGAATGCCACAAGCTGAACTAAGCATGCCTGTGCACTTTGCATCGGATTGACATATTTCCACCTTGAGTATCTTATCCATCCGGCTATTTTTTATCAGAGCAGTTGGAATGTTTATATGACACATTTTTAGTCCCATGGGTCTTTGTGTATTTTTTTTTTAAATCTGGATATATTTCAATCCAATCATGAATATGCATGTAAACAATACTGCTTTCCTGCCACACGAAAAAGACAATATAGAACTTAACTGGACACTATATTATTTTATTCTTCAAAAAACTTTTGTCATTCAGGAAAAGTTTTCTTAATTTTGTGAAAAAAAATGTTAATTTCCTAAAAACACAGGAAAAATATCTTGTGGTGTCCCCTTTTTGAACCCAGTATTGTGATACATATCTTTTAGGCTGAATTATCATCCCAGCCCTTTCTATATGCTCCGTTTACCTCGAAAAGCAGAGTGACGTTAGACTTGTTTCTGTCTGGATCCTCTTCAATTATTCTCCAGAAATCAGGCCCACGTTCAGGAGCTGGAGAAAAGGCACATGACATACAGGAAATTAACCAATAATAAATGTTATTTTTCATTTTTACTTAAAAAAAATTAAAAATGTAATTTGGTGGGATAAAATTGGAGATTAGATTTTTAAGCCATATTGGCCAACCTTAGTTGTATCCTTCTAAATTTCATGGTTTGGGTTCTGTTAAAGTTTTTTTTTTTGAGTTTTCATTGGTTTTATTTCCATTTTGTGTTATTCTAGTTGTGTTCGGTTGAATTTGAGTTCTTATGCATTTCTTTTTTTCCTCTGTTGCCCCCTTGTGTCAGTCTCCTTCCCCTAACTCCCTTTTAAATGCTTCCATCCACACCTGTTCTTTGTCTGCTGATTAGCCTAGTCTTTGTTGAGTCTCCCATTTATATTCCTCCTCTTCAGTTACTGTTTGCTGGTTCCTCCTTTGTGTTTGCCCCTAATGTCTTTTTCTGGTTTTTGGTTTTATGTATTTTGTTGTTCTTTGGATTTTTGCTTCAGTTGCCCCGTGTTGTTATTAAATCTACAAGAAACCACCTCTGCTTCTGTTGCTGCATTTGGGTCTTCTTGAAACCTCCACTCAACCTGACACTAAGGCTACATTCACACTGCAGGCCTTGATGCTCAATTCCAATATTTTTTTGCAATATCAGATTTTTTTACGTTGCCGTTCATATTTCCAAATATATGCGACTTGTATGTGATCTCCTGTGTGAACTGCAGTCATACAACGCAAGTGTCCCGCATGCGCTGTAGAGGACGCAATGAAGTCACAGGCCAGCATGCTCTTTCTTTCCGGAAGTAAACATGGATGGTAGTGCTGGCGCGCATCTAGCGGTCTTTTCCAACCATAAAAACTCAATCTTTTCAATATGGTTAAACATAAATACTGCTCTCCGCATCATCATCTGCCTTGGTTGTTGTTTTTCTTGCCGCTTCTGTGTAGCAAGACGCATAATAGTGACGTTTGTCGGGTATTAATGGCGTCCAGGTCCGATTCATCAGACCTGGCCGTTCACACACAGGTCACATTTGAAAAGATAAGATTTGTATCGGATTCAGGACCACATAGCCAAGTGGCCTGGGTCGCATTGGAAAAAATTGGATCTGTGTTGTTCAGACAGCCATGAAAAGATCAGATCCAGGTCGCATATGAGCAAAAAAATCTGATTTGGGTCACTTCAGGCTGCAGTGTGAACATAGCTTAAATATCAGCAGACCACAGCTGTTACTGATTTTGACTAAAAAACTATTTTGTGCCACATTGCTACTTCTTGCTACTTCTGCAAAAAATCAAAGAACAAAACAAGTTGTTTTGCTATAATGATCCTTGTGCAAGTGTAAATTTGCTGCATTTCCCTTTAAACACCTCAATCCTATACACTAGGAGAATTTTACTGTATTTTTTTTTTATTATTATTTTTAGGAGACACAGCTCTGTTGCTTTGAGCTGTTTATTAAAACAATACAGTTATATTTTACATTTATCCCCCCAAAAAACAGAGTTGACTGGTTAGAGACTAACAAATCAATTATCAAAATTTCTGATTGATGTATCTCTAGTTTTTATTCCCCTTTGGATTAGTTTGTTCATGCTGGTTAATTGAAATCAAAAGCATTCCCTAGTTTTTAAAGTAAAGTGACACACTTGATTTCCAACCTGTTAATCTGTATTTGTTGCCATATTAAAATGCTAGGTTTTATGTAGGGTTCATTTGAGCGGTGAAGCATGTTTACCTCTGCTGTTTTTAATGGTGGATTGGACAGGCTCACTCCATTCACTCCAGTATCCAAACCCATTTTTGGGCAGGCAGCGTACTTGAATCTCATAGACCTGGCACATGTCTGGTATCTCCACCTCCGCCCAGGAAACATGGACAGACTTCTCAAACTGCACAGATAGATAGAGGTATATGCATTTTGTCAGATCAAGCTGAATAGACCAATTCAGTAGTCAATATACTTATCTATATTGAAAGTAGTTATTTTATGAGAATAGTATCACAAATGGTAAAAAATTAAAATCTGATTTTCCATGTTTTATACATACCACAAAGATCCCTAACATTTTTTACTGGCAGTAAGCCTGCAGACTAACAGCAGGTCAAACAAAACACAGCATTTGTACACACTCTTTTTGGTTCCCAAATGTATGAAAGGAAATGAGTTCAAAACAGGAAGGAGTAACAATTGATGGCAAGCCTCCAATTTCCAGGAAAAATTGCACCTACTTTAACTGGAAACAGACATCTAATGAAATACCAATGCATTATGTTGAGTCATTTAAAAAATGTTGGCCTTATTTAATCCATTTTTGTTCAGTTTTTATTCTTCAAATGCACTTGCTAGATAACTTCAATTTCAGTTTCCACAGTAAAAAAAAAAGTAGTGACAAAAGATTCCCCCCACTTGCTATTTCTAGCCAAATGTATAATTTAGAAAAAATAATATAAATAAATTAAATAAGAGCAACACATTAAAACACCAACATCTTTTCAAATTTTGGTAAAGCTTTTCATGGCAAAGAGTGAGAAAAACTAACCTTCCACTCTATCACACTGAGGGAATGGTAGCGAAACTGACACTGCAGGCCGTCAACAGGCAGAGGGGGAGGAGTCCAGGAAACATTCAGGATCCCCTTGCTCTGGGTCACTGCCACCACATCAGCTGGAGGGTGAGGTTTAACTGCAGAGCAAGTGGGGGAAAGCACACAGTCATATTTTTATAATCAATAAATATAAAGTATTGCATAACATGTAAGAAGCTCTTTCAAATTAGCACTGATTTTAAAACTAAGAAATCTTTGTTCTAAAACTCCAGGCAGGGCAATTTCTAAATGTGTCTCTACTTCATCACATCTAACTCAAATATTAGCCGATTAGTAACTGTTACTTTTTTGGCATTTTTTCCTGATTTTTTTTTCTCAGAAACTAAATAAAATTTCTGTCTTTTAAACAGTCACTTTAGGTTCAGGGATTACTCTTTTGCCTCTTACCCATTAACCCGTGAGGCATCCTACTGCAGGGGCAGACTGCTGCCTTTTTTACCATACATGCCAGAAATGCAGGTCGAAGGAAGTTGTTTAATATAGCTGATTAAATTTTTTTTTGTCACATTATTTTATTTGAAAGCTTAGATATTAGAGTTTCTATCAAAATGTTAAGGTTTGTCACAGAAATTATTATATTATAAGTTCTGGGAAAGATACGCACCAATAAAGAAGTATGCACCAAACCGTTTGGAGGAAACCTGAATATAAAATTGACAGATCTAATACCTAAACCCAATCTAATACCTTTGGTTTATCCCCTCTCTTGAGGGCTCACTGTAATCCTAACATAGGTGGATGAGAAGCCTAATAATGCTAATGATCTGTCATTAGTACTGTATGTTCTTAAGTATTTATAAGTGTTCCTTTACATTATGTAATGTCAAAATTCCCTATTTTTGGAATATTCACATTTCCAAAGGTTTAAGTCCTTTTTTGAACTATAAATAGGAAAGTTTACTATAAATACAAATCAGACATCAGGCTTTGACTTTGTAGGAAAGGGAGGGAGGACACAGATAAACAAATATTACAGTGGGCTCAAAAATGGATGTATTTCATCCAAATTTTGAGATTGATGCATTATTATCACATAACAAAAGAGTCTGATTATTATCAAATTCAAACAATAAACTTTATGTATTTGAAATAAATACACTAATAACTACAAATGTTGAGTTAGTATGTTTTATTAAGCCTCATGACATGTTATTGTCCAAAGCAAACGGCCCAAATACCTTGAAGTGTTTTATGGTCCCACATATGCTGACGGTACTAGACTAGCAGCAAAATCCATTTGAAAAAATATATCTAAAATAAATAAATTCATGCTCAAGACTATAAGATCATGACTTAATGATACTAAGTATAGCTTAAAAATATAATGCTAAATACTTCTTGCTCACCATAATTTAGGGGGAAAACGTAGACAGGCTTGGATCTGATGAGGGGGGATGGTAATTCAAGCCACAGTTTGTAGCAGTTATTAGTCTTCAATGGATGTATAGAGCAGGTTTTCTGAGAAGACAAGTTTGGTGTGCATTCAGGTCCCGTCTCTCCTACATTCTTACTGCCTCTCTCTATTTTCTTCATGTCCTCACATGACATGTCAGCACTCCTACCCCAGAAATAAAAAAAAAATAGTTAGATAAATGGCATTCAGCTTCATTTCACACACCTCAGTCTGTTTTAATTTGAAAAAAAAAAGGTTTACCAATACAAGAACAGTAAGATGGAATATGATCTTGTTTTAATTTTTCATCAAAAGGGGTTTAGGGTGTGAGGTTGGTTTATTCAGAAAGGACTGTTATTACATGAATAAGGACAGAAGATTGTAGACCTAAGGGTCTATAAACTCTTTCATTTGTGTGATCTGTTTTCCATAAGATCTGTAGTAGTGGAAATATCTTCCACCTGTTGAGGATTCATCATATGTGCCATTTTTTCTGGATATCAGCATGCTGATAGAAACGCTGCTTCTGTTTTAAAATTCTGTAACCCATTGTTTAATATTACATAGGTCAGTTACTCCTATAAATATTGTTGTTGAATACTGCTTTCTGTTAATCACCTGGTCAAGCCTTTTCTAACATTCTACAGTACAAAATAAGTATTAAAAGTATGTATGATTTAAGCTAATATTGAACAGGGCCAAAAGCAATATTAGGCACCTCTTATTTCTTCTTCTCTTCTTGCAATATTAGTATCAGAAAAGTTGTGTCAGGATAACCTAGATTAAAAACAATCAATTAAAAACTGTAATGTATAGCATGTGTAAAATTCCAGTTCGAGGGCCCATGTCTGACACATTTAGACACATATGTTGAGAAAGTAATTCAGCAGTTTGATTCAAGTGAATCAGAGACACACATGCAGTAAATCAGCCTTAGAGGAATGTAGTTTGAAACACCTGCAGTGGAAATTTTCCAAGGTGTGTCTAGAATGTTGTGTTCAGTAACTTAAAAGCAAGAGAATTACACAATCAGTCCTCCAGGACCACTGTTCTGAATCTGTATTATGTTTATCTGCTTTAAAGCACGTAATCAAGATGACTACAGTTGAGCTAAAGCCTGCTAATTAGCCATCTGCGGAAATCTGCTGTGGTGAAACTAAAACCTGCAGGACAGTGGCACACAAGAACCACCTCTGGACTCCTGAGATTTAAAGGGTTTTGTCAACAGAGGTCCTATCATTATTTTATCATCCTATAAACAGTTTTATAAACCACTGCAACTTGTAAAAACACAAGTCACTACTGAAAATTAAACACAGTATTATGAAATGCAGCAGTACTTGGATTGGAATTTGAGTTTGGTCTTCTCATTATTATCCCATTTGCACGTCATAGTGTCGATGTCGCCGTTGGTTACACATGTTATGTTGATGCTGCCTCCTGGAAGGAACAACACAATACCAGTTAAATCTATGGACAAATAACTACCTGGAGATATTAGCTGCAATAACAACTTTTTTGGTTTTCCTACTGCCAACATCTTTCCTTTTACGCTTCTGGAGAAATTTGCCTTCTAGCAACATACAAAATAAAGTTAGAGTCTAATTTTTCACCAAAAAACAAAGATAGAATAAACAGAAATGCAGATGAAAAACTGATCTTTTTCCAAATATTACACGCCATTTAACTACAGTGGAATCAACTTGGATCAAGTAAAAAAAACGGTTTAAGTTGTTTAATTATAACACCACAAACTACGCTGTTTAGAACGCTACAAATTAGGCATTGATCTTGCATCTACAACTGCAGTGCCTGCGGCAGCTTCGGTCACACAATGTCATTTCTGGACGCATAAAGACATCCACTTTTAACCATTGAAAAAGCTGCAGAGTGCTTTGGACGGATGTAAAACAAAGCAGCGGGCAAAAGGAGCAGGCCGCGCCACGGGTAGAGAAGGAATCAGATAACCTTAGACTCTAACTTTTTTCAAAAATAGACTAGTAACAGCTGTGCCATTATCCTGACTGAGTCATTGCTTTATTCATCAATAGCAGATAACGCTGTTATACTGGAGGGGCTAACATTATACCGTGCCCATAGAAACAGCAAACTCTGTGGTAAGACTAGAGGAAGGGGGGCTCTATGATAACATCAACAACAACTGATGTAAAAATGCTACATCGGTCAACAGCTCCTGCTCTTGAGACATTAAGTTTCTGACTGTTAACTGCAGACCCTTCTATCTGCCTAGAGAGTTCATTGTAGTTAGCATCACTGCTGTTTATGTCCCCCCCAGGGATAATACAAAAGTGCCATGAAGATTCTCTACCAGGCTATCTCTGAGCTTCAATCTGCACACACAGAGGGCATTTTCCTCTTTGCTTGGGATTTTAATCAGGCTTCCTTGAAGTCTGTGATCCCTCATTTTTTAACCCCTCGCACCCCTAGCTTGCTTGCTTGGATGGATGGATGGATGGATGGATGGATGGATGGATGGATGGATGGATGGATGGATGGATGGATGGATGGATGGATGGATGGATGGATGGATGGATGGTTATGAGAGTGTGGATTGAGGGGCCATGGACAAACTCCAGGACTGTTTTGATTGCTCTGACTGAAACATGATCAAGCTGAAGCAACCTATGACAACAAGAGAAATATGGATGAGTATGCCATGACTGTGTAAGGGCTCCCTCACGTGTTGATGCATATCAACATATACATTTTGGACGTCAGCACCACAAAGAACATCACCACCCTGGCCAACCAATGACCCAGGGTGAATGGAGAGGTTAAGAAATTGCTAAAACCACAAACCTCAGCTTTCAAGTCTGGTGATAGAGAGGCATTGAGGACAGTGTGTGCCAACGTGAACTGTGATATTAGCTCAGCAAAGCAGAACCACAGCCGGAAGATCCAGGATCTCTTCCACGACAGGGAGACAAGGATGATGTGACAAGTGTGACAAGGCATACGGTCGATCACAGAACCGCCCCCCACCCACCCCCCCAGTGGGTGCAGCTGGGACTAAACAGCATTCTACTGTAGCAGTGAGAGCTGTTCCGCATCAGACAGAGGAGACAATCTACCTTGACACAGCTGCTGTGTGGAAGTCTCTGACGAGAGTCAACCAAAGAAAGGCCCAGGCCCCGATAACATACTTGGGCGAGTGTATAAGGAGTGTGCAGGTCAGCTGGCTGGTGTCCTCATAGACATTTTTAACACCTCGCTGGACAAATCCACAGTTCCAGCATGCTGTAAGTCTGCCACCATCATTCCGGTCCCAAAGAAGCCTCAGGTCAACTCATTCAATGACTGCCGGCCTGTTGCTCTGACTCCCATCATGATGGAGTTCTTCTAAAGAGTGGTTAAAGAACACATCGTCTCAAGTTTTCCCCCAACATTCGACTCGTCCCAGTTTGCCCACCAACGGAACCGCTCCACTGAGGACGCCATCTCCTCTGCTCTCCACCTGAGCCTGGAACACCAAGAGGAGAAGAACACCCACGTGTGGATGCTGTTCCTGGACTTAAGTTCAGCTTTCATCACTATCAACCAACAGCATCTAAAAGGAAAACTGGAACAGCTGGGCTTCAGTACACCCCTCTGCAATTGGCTGCTAGTCTTCCACACAAACAGACCTCAGTCAGTCTGGGTTGGACAGAAAAACTCTGATGTCATCAACCTAAGCACAGGCTCCCCTCAGGGCTGCGTCCTGAGTCCCTGCTATTCACTCTAATGAGACACGACTGCGTCCCTAGGTTCACCACCTATCACATTGTGAAGTTTGCAGATGACACTATGGTGATGGGCCTCATTAGAGACAACAATGACCAACACTACAGAGAGGAGTTGAAGAAGCTGGTGGGCTTGTGCAGAGATAACAGCCTGTATACACTCTCTGTATAAAAAATGACATTAAAAGTTGTCTAAGTTATTCAGTTGTCAATCATTAACAATTGATATGGAAACAGACAAAATCTATATAAAATAAAATAACAATATAATTCAGTTTATATTTTATTAGTGTAACTAAAACTTACCTTCCACAAAGATCTTGGTATAAGGAATACTCCAATCATGTCTGCACCGCAGCAGGTAATACATCCCAGTGTCTGAAGCCCTGAATGTGATCTTGCTGACCTAAGGTGATTTAAAATATGTTATCCATAGGGGGCACTAAAGATGCAAAGAGAGTAGGGGGTAAATTGAGGGGTTTTAACTAGCAACTTTTATTTAAAACTCACGTTTGTGTATTTAATTTATACCCAATATTATTTTATTTTTTCCTCCATCAAGCACTGTAACTTTTCTTACCTGCTGGCTGACAGGATGATACAGACTGGGATCAAGCCACTTCTGATAATTGAAAGACCAATTGGCACTGCTGGCATTGCGGTCCTTTAACACGCAATAAACCGTTACATTTTCACCCGGTCGAGCCACCACCTCCTGAGGAACATAGGTCACACCTGCAAACAGGAAAAACATTTTTTTCAATAAATTATTTTTTGGATTATTAAATTATTTTTTTATATAACTTTCCACCACAAAGGTGAACCCATAGGAGAAGCAATTAACAGTTATAATAAGCAGGATTGGGGTTTTTGTTATGTATATAAAAAATGAATTTACAGATCTCAACAGAGTCCAGGGTTTAAATATAGATCCCCTAAAAGCCATCATTTTCATAAGATGAATGAATGAAACATAAAAAACTATCAAATTAAAGACCAAATTAATGACACTTTATAAGAAAGGTAAATGGGTCCAATTACACTTAAATTATATGCAATCCAATCACATCAAGTTGATTACAAAAATGTTTTGTCGTGATCTTGGCACAGATTTATACCTTTTATTTTTACAGGCAAGTCTTCAAGAACAAGTTCTTATTTACAATGACGACTGAGAAGTGGAGTAACATCGTAGAAAAAGGGAAGTAGGGCTAAAATAAATACAAACCATAAGAAATTCATACATAAATTATAAACAAAATAGCTAAAATAAATACATTTGTAATAGATACATAAAATACAATTTAAAACACAACAAATGACTATGTAGAGAAGCAGCTGCGAGTGTCTTTGAACATGGATGATATAATGTTTTGAAGGATGAAATTGAAATTTGTCTATCCAGTTTAAGAATATTTTGCAGAGTGTTCCAGTGATGAGCGGCAAAAGATTTAAAAAAAAAAGCAAGATCAAAAGTAGTGTTGGTTTTGGGAATAAGTAATGGTAGATGAAGTGAGGACTGGGTGTTGTAAGTGACAGGCTTTGGATGCAACAGGTCACCTAAATAAGGTGGTGATGGTCTACAAATGCAGATGAAGGGAGGGCCAGTTGACAGATGAATACAGAGCACAGTGGTGTGTATTGGAAGGAGGATTTATGGTAAACCTGATGGCGGAATGGTAAAGACTGTCAAGTTTGATCGAGCTTGCAAGCAACCCTATATATAGTGTCTCCATAGTCTAAAATGGGTAGAATAGTAATTTAGATAAGAGTCAAGTTTCACAGAAGTGGTGAAAGAAGTGCGGTTTCTGTAGAGAAACCCAAGCTGATCATTTACTTTATATTTGAAATGTGCAGGGAGAAGGAAAGTGATGTTTTCAACCAGATGCCCAAGTAATTATATGCAGTGACTTGTTCTAAAAAATTACTGGCTTAATGGTTCATTCCATTCACCTGCCTAGCCTGACCCAGTTTCTCATAACTGTTGATCTGTGTCACCTGCCCTAGTCTCTATTTAACCTGCCTGCTCCCAGTCATCAGTGCCGGATTATTCGAACCTTCAGTGAGAGTTCTCTAGTGTACCAGTCTGCTATTCTGATTGACTGATCCTGACCAGTTCTGCCATAAGACCTTTGAGCCTGCCTGTTCCTGTTTTGGAATTGTTTGCCTGCCTTTAGACTCCTGCTGGTTTCTAGCTGTGGACTGAACCTGCATCTGCCTCCTGACTTCAACTTGGACGCGCCCTCCGTACCTCTTCGGATTTCTGATCTTCTGGCCTTGACTCCAACCCCAGCTTGGGCTTTGTCTTCTGGAAACCCCTGCCTTCCTTCCTCTGCTTGGATCTGTTCCTCAGCCAGTTCAGCAGCCTTCTAGGCTAGAGTCCTGCACGGGTCGAGTTTTACCAACCCGCACGCGCCCGAACCCGTTAGGAAGACTACCGAACCCGACCCGTCACCCGCTGATATCTTCAATTCAAATCCGAACCCGACCTGACCCGTTGATATTTAACCCGCAACCCGACCCGTTAACACATCAAGTAATAGGCTATAGTACACTGCGCTGCAGAACAGCGCCATTAACACTGCAGCAGCCTTGAGGTAGAATCCGTGCAAAATCAGCATGAATGTAACAACTTATTGAGGTTGTTGGGAATAGTGATGTTATAAGTCTTACAGCTGCTGGGAGGAAGGATCTGCGATAACGCGCCCTGGTGCATTTAAGTCATAGCAGTCTGTCACTGAAGGAGCACTATTATGACTGAACTGCACAGCATAAATTTACAGGTGGAGTATATGCAAATATAAGCACTTAGCAAGTGAAAAGTGATTTTCCCCATGAAAATATATTATATTAGCCTGACGTAGTCCGACTCAATTCTAGTCAGAATATGAGTCTGATACTGCTCCATAGAGCTGTGATTATGGGGCGTGTTTTGAACGAACCAGGAAAAAAATGCCTCTGCACTCAATTGGATAGAGCTACAACCAATAAGAGCAACGGAGTGCGTGACGTATCTTAAGCGAGGCATAGTTGTTGTCCACAAAAATCAAAGCGTGCAGTTTCACGCCTAGAATAAGAAGATGAGACTTGATCGCGTTTCTCTGTTCCTCTTTTAAAATTAAATTGCTGTCGATATCTTCTAGAACAGACCTAATAGCAGAATCTACTCACCCAAACTCTCCAGCGGCAGCCATTATTGTTGTCACCCAAGCGCGCTTTGGTCACGTGGTTGATAACGTTACTCTTGATCATCTGTCCATCATCGTATAAAGCCCGCCCTGACAATTTGATTGGATCGCCTGACAGTGGGCTTTAATACTCGCGCTACTATGGAGCAGAGCCAGACCGAACTTCCCCGAACTCAAACCTTGTGGGCGGGACTAAGTTCGGACTGGCACCCAGGCTAATATTATATTATATATTAGATTGAATTTATTAAAGCCAGAGCTCTAGTGGGAAGGTTCTTTGAAAGAGCAAGTTAAAAAAAAAAAACAGTTCTTACTTTCAAGGTATATGATGTAAGGCTTGCTCCAGTCACTCCACAGTGGAGGCTGGGTTTGGGTGGTGCAGCGAACCTGGATAGTGTACTTTGAGGGTTCCAAATCTAGTGATAGATAGGGCTGTTCAAGTGCAGACACCACCTGGAAAAAAGGAGAGAGGATGATTATAGATATCCATCCACAAACATGCACTGAAAACAGAAGACGAGGACCCACCTGCAAGGTTTGGCTGAAACTTCTCCAGGAATAGCGAACTTCATATTTTAGCATTTTATTGCTTAAGTTTAATGGCTTCTTCCAGCTGAGAATGAGCTCTGCCTCCAAAGTATGATTGTGTGAGATGTTGAATGGAGGACTAGGTTTCACTGTGAAAAGATAGATAATTCAAAATTAAATTAATGTAATACTGAAAACTATGATTATCTATAAAAAAATGTCATTAGTTAAAATCTATTTTGCTCAAATTTCCACAATAGTACAATAGCAGTAATAATGGATAATACAACAAAAGTTTGAATTCAGTTTCAATAAGTTAACCTGTTTTATTTATTTGTTTCTTTGTTTTTTTATTGTTAAGGATATTTTTTCCTTTCAAGGTGGAACATTTCTTCTCACATAAGAAAAACAGGCCATAATCAATTAAATTAAATTCAGTTTATCTATGTAGTGCCAATTCACAATACATTTAATCTCAAGACACTTTACAGAGACAATACAGTCAGATTGTTCAGGAAAACCAGTCGATTGCATAAGCTATTGACTTGCAAGATATGCTCTTCCTAGATGAGCCTGCTGCGAAGAAATTCGCTTGCACTTTGTTGTTGACTCATCAGCAATCCCTCACAACAAGCATGCATGTAGATTAGATTCAACTTTATTTTCATTACACAGGTACAGGTACAAGGCAACAAAGTGCAGTTTAGGTCTAACCAGAAGTGCAATAGCATCAAGTGCAGGATAAATAATGTTTCTATAAATACAGGACAGGGGTTCTACTGAAAAAATATAGAGATGAATACCATTATAAACAGAATCTTACTAATAGATGAATATAGTATATAGATAACTACTGTAATTAACTAAATTTACAGCTGGATATGTACCGAATATAATATACAGGTGGATATTATTATAAAAAGGGTTTTTACAGTTATGTGCATTTGCATATATACAGATGGGTTTACTATAAAATGCATAAATAAAGTTTGGACAGAAGCTATCTAAATTAAAGTGCAGTGGAAGGGAATTGCATATTACAGTTAAAGTACATTATTGCAAATGTATATGTAAACAATTGGCACTGTGAATAAACAGTCGGCAGTGCAAATACAAATAGTCGGCAGTGCAAATCAATATACGGTCAAGGTGAGTAGTGCAAGATGCATGTAAACAGTTTTTACAATAGTAACAGTCAGGAGTGCAGGTGAACATTACAGTCTTGTGAATAACAAAATAATGTATGTAATGGATGTAGCGCTAGCGGAGAGGAAAACTCCCTTTTAGCAGGAAGAAACTTCCAGAAGAAGAAAGTTCAGTTTATGCTACCTTCAGCTGAGACCATTATCAGGTGTGTTTTAAGGTCCACTGTTTAAAGCCCTCTTGTGCACAGATCATCAGTTTGCCTTCTCTAGACTTAATAACCATTAGCAAAGGAAATGCCTTTAACATCAGACAGTATAATTAAAATACATAATCGTAGTGGATGCAAGTATTAATTCCTAAATGCAGGGTCATTTAGATCTACATAGTCCTTACCTAAAGTTTATATGGCCTCTGAATCTGAATGCCAATTGATATGCAACAGCTGTTTGTCTATATTATGCTACTGCACTAAAAGCTAATTCTACAGACTTTCCGTTTGAAGGGGGGGGGGGGGGGGGGGGGGGATCACTCAAGCATAGCCCTGAGCTAATCATCTGTTTCCATGACAACATTACACATACCCCTTACCCCTCACATCATTAACAGGCATGATGTGAGGGGTTAGGAAAGTGCATGTTTCCTCGAAACATATAAGATGGAAAAACTATTTGGGGGTAAGAAAAGTGCTTTGTTCTGTGTACTATGGATTATGTTGCTTCATTTATCTTTAGGCAAGCAAATGTATCTCTAAATTACTGTGGCTGAAGGGTGCAAATGTGCTGCTAATTTATAGCTGTTCTGCAAACACAAAGAGTACTGTAAAACATAAAAATGAGACAAGCAAAATGTAAAAATGAGATTAACACATAAACGCATAAAATACCTATTAAGAAAAAATTCTGTACAGAGCAAAAACAACTTTTACTTAAAAAAGGTTCAAAGAAGCTCCACATAATGAAAATGTTCAGCACCACTAGTAAGAGCCAGAAGTAGCCCAGCGTAAAATCTACATATATTTATATTCCTGTCCTCTAGTCCCATGTTTATATAGGTAATTTCTGCTTTTTTTAAATGACACTTAAACTGATAATGTGTAATAATACATAAGCGCAATTTATTTCACCTCACCCTGCTGAACGGGGGAAGTCAAGAGTCTAAACTTTCTGTATATTTATGCTTGTTGCTACTGCAGCCAGTAACGCTAAGTAATCTGACTAATATTAACTCTCTAGAAGTTTCTATGTCGAAATACTAAATAGCTTTCAACAATACCAATGCTTTTTTCAAAGATAATTTGAAAATTATTACTTTAAATTAGTATCTTTTTTTTATTTCTGTGTGCACATGGTCAAGCCACTATGTAAAAGATGAGACCTTGTCTGCTCCTTATTTCAGTTCGGCAGGAGTTTACCCATCCTCTCCATTGGTTTGGCAGCTTTAATGCAGCAAATAAATGGGAAAATGTATGAATTTAGGACATTTGTTTTCTGTTGTTCCTGCTGCTAGCATGTTCTTGTGCTACGTCATAATTAGCCCCTTATTCTTTCATTTCCAAGTTTGATATCCCACTCTGGTGGTTAGGAAAAATCCACACCATGGTTCAAAGCGCGGGAAAATAGTAGCGGCTTTAAGACTGGAATATAAGGCAGTTATTAAAAACAATCTTGTCAGATTTTAAAAGTTCAGTGACAGAGGGTACAAAAGAGTTGGAGAAGTTCTGAAAAAGGTATATAAAAGTGATCAGTTCTGTCAGTATAATAACTTGGATAATCATTTGTATATTTTGGATTTCCTCAAACTTTGTCTGTGCTGAGATCTGTGAACAGACAAATTCACACAGATTTGATAGATTAATCTTTTGGACCAGGATCTGCATTGTTTTGACTGATTTCCATTTAAAAAAAATTATAAGTGCAACTAATAATAACTGCTAAAAAAAAACGTATGATTAATTGAATTGGTATTTGGTTTATTTTTTCCTTATTTATTATAAATAATTGTTGTCATTATTTACTTCTTATTTTAATATATGGTCTAGTTTAAAATAATTCAGTGCCTCTTAGTTTTCTTTTTTTTCAGCAGTTTGTGTTTGCAGCACATGTAGTTTAAATGATTTTGCACTTTGCTGCTCTCTGTTTTCTGTTACTAAAACATTTCTCGTTTGCACCATTTTTCTTTTGCATGTGATTTGTGTGTGTTTGTAAAATGTTGTTTTATGTATACTTTCTTGCTGTGTAATTTACATATTTAAGTTTGTAGTACTTCATATTTTTGCAATGCATTTATATATTTGGAGCTTTTTTGCACTTCTTAGCAACTATATTTGGCACACAGTAGTGTATTAACATTTTGTAAAAAGCAAGACTGGCACAATTTCTTGCTATCAACTAGGTTTTCTATTAGTGTCTTCCACTTGATACAATATTAACAGGTAACTTCAAATTGTCTTTGAGGAAACTAGCTGATTCTTGGTTGAGTTTTTGCTTTATTTAATAATATTTGATTTTTTTTTTCAAACCAAAAAAAAAAAACATAATTTTGAGCTGATAAGCTTTGTCCCCGGTCCCTTTAAAAAATAAGACTAATGCTAGTCATTTTTTATCAGAAAATCACAGAGAGGCTTTTCAGATTAACTAACTCACTGACAAATGGATGTGCATAGTGTGGAATAATTAACTTTTCTAATTAGGGAAATAAAGTTTAACCACTAAATGCTGGACAAATCTAAATTGACTCAAAAGTAAAATACTATTCATGCAAACCATTCTGAATATAGCTGTCAGCCTAAACAGAGATATATATCAATGCCTTGTCTATCACTGTGGAGATCTCACAGCTTCACATTTGAAAACACCCAAGGCAATCACCAGAAAGCTGTGAGATGTATTCCATTCACGTCTGAAACTTTATCTGTCCAGACTCTTTGCTCCTAGGGTGAATGCTCTACAGAAAGAAAACACATCAGCACTGAAAACATGGAGGGATTAAGCTCTGAATATAACCTCACAGCGCTTGACCTTTGAAAAAGGACGAATGCTGGGAACTTTCTGCTTTGATCTCTTATAGTAATGAAGATAAAGAAACATGTTCATACATATAAAATAGCAAGAATAGGGTTTATTAGGTGCACTCTTGAATTCAGGCAGGGTTTTTAGCTTATCTATTATACAAACAGTATATTCAATTCCTCAACCCTTTTAAATAAGATATATCCCATAAAGATTTTAAGCCCATTACTCAAAATTTTATGTTAAACAAACACTCAAGCTCTGTGCAATTTTCTTGATTAACATTTTTTGTCTGTTGAAGATTGGTGAAAAAAAAATGTTTTACGAGTGATAATAAGCATTTAAACATGCACACAGCAACCATAATATAAGGACTTGGGAATTTGGGTTAATTAAACATTACTAGGTAAGAGACCAGTACTATGTGAGAAGTGAGGCAACAATTAAATGTTTTGTAATGAAAGTGTATTTGCTAAAAGCAAGAAAAATGTTCACATAAGTGTTACAGCGAGTTTGGACCCCAATCTGATGGATAAACGACCAGGTGAGAGCATCTCCACACCTTCAGCTCGTCCTACAGTCAGTATCAAAGTGGGAACATTTTTAATGTTTGTGTATGTGGAGAGCAGAGCTTGGCCAGATGGAAAAAAAAATACTAAAAGCCTAAAGAAGTTATTGTGGGTTCTGATTCAAATGATTCAGTCCAGTGTAATAATGCAATACCTACCATAGTGAGGGTGTAACAAAAACCTGTCTAAAGCTGAATGTGCAAACAAAGGCCACTAGAGCGTCTTAACCGGAACACAAAGCAATAGAGGAACTCGGCTAGGTATGATTCTCAAATCACTTGGTTACCAGGCAGATAACTGTTTACCTTGAGAACAGATGGCATCAGTTTGCACTGTGGTAGGAAACTCGGCTGAGAGAGGCAGTGTGTGCAGAAAAACAAGTTAAGATTTTGACTTGGTGTCCGAAATTCCCTGGATCTTAAATCAAATTAAACATCTTTGGGTGTAATACAGAAACAAGTCTGATCTACCTCTGATCAACCTTTAATAATCTGAAGCTAATGTAATACGATGGTAAAAGATACTAAGTTTAAGTAACTATCCCTAAATGGTGTAGTAAGGTCTAATAAACTATTCCTTATAAGTAAAAATAAAACATACATTATATTCATTGGTGGGAAAGAAATTATGAATTCATGATTCAACATATTTTTCTTCATTTCATTTTTCCTTTCTTACCAGGTCTGTCAGGAATTTTAAGCAACACTGTTGAGGCCACAACGCTGGAGATGTTGACTGTTACCAAGACACCAAAGGTTCTAGTTGAGTTTAGATGAATAGAGCACATGAGCGATTCTTCTGCAGTACATACAAGCCGATGATCTGATGCAGGCTCATCTGTGCGGTTTATCTGGGAACTGAATAGAAGAGCACTTTTTAGTACAAAAATATTAATGTATATTCTAGACACTCTAAGCAGCATTTCATCATTTCCTGCTATGCTTAATAATGGCTAAAACTGCTGTGATTCTGTCTCTTTCTGATCACCTAAAACTAGTGTTACACATCAGATCTTCTCCATGGCTGAACAAAGTAAACAGATATTTAACCCCTAGTGAGCAGCTGGCAAACACTCAAACAAGTACTCAGCAGAACCCAATGTTATACTTACAGGTGCTGTAAGCTGAGTGCCAAGCGATTTGTCTTTAGTCTGTCAGAGAGCTGGCCATTAGTCTTCAGATCACAAGTCACATTTGCCCAATTCTCATCCAGTCTGCACATTATGTCCAAACAGGTAGCTGACAAGAAACATAATGGGGCTATAAGTACATCATGACCACTGGAGGCTTCTTAGAAAGCAGCCTACATTGAAATTCTGGGAACTTGTAAGATTTTGTTTTTTAAACCTGTCAGAGAAAAGAAGATGTAGATTTAAAAATTAAAATTTACTGATGAAGAAAAAAATTGCAAATGAAAAAAAGACCTAACAAACACAATAAAACAGTGAGGTGCTATTTACCATTTCTATGTCTGACCTTTGTATGGCAACATGTTAACTGCTTATAACCAGAGCTGATATTAGATATATAAAACCAGAAACAACATATAGGGCCTGCTCTTCAAATATTCAAAATAAGGTCGTTAGGTTGGTACAGTAGTGCAATAAGATTGCATTCCTTATATTAAACATGCAAACTTGGTTCAATTGTGCTGATTGCCTGTACTAGAGAGTGTCAAAGAGTTGTCGTAAAAGAGAAACAAGGTTCTCAGCCATGTAGTCGGTGGTAATAATGACAAGGATATTTAAATAATAAAAATGATAATACAAAATACTATTTATAGTGCAATCCACACCACAGTGCAACAAACCAAAGTGATAAAAATAAAAAAAAATAAAAGTAACTAAAGTTAAAAATATAAAATATAAGATATGTTTTTCTCTGCTGATTGACAACAAGGTTAGAGGTAACAAAACTGTGCTTTGTGGAGTTTAAATTTTTGATTTCGTTTAATTTTATAAAGATATTCTTGAGTCCTGCTGCATTATTTAGCTCCCATATTTTTTCTTTAATTATATTTTTCTACTATAGCTACTTTTGATTAGCCTGACGTAGTCCTACTCAATTCTAGTCAGAATATGAGTCTGATACTGCTCCATAGAGCTGTGATTATGGGGCGTGTTTTGAACGAACCAGGAAAAAAATGCCTCTGCACTCAATTGGATAGACGTACAACCAATAAGAGCAACGGAGTGCGTGACATATGTTAAGCAACGCATAGTTGTTGTCAACAAAAATCAAAGCGTGCAGTTTCATACGGTGGCTGAGAAGTGCAAAACACATTTACAATTCAAAAACACATTACCAAATAAAATACAAAATAACATTCGAAGAAACAAAATTATATTTTATGAAACAAATGTATTTTTGAAAAAAAGTAAAAAATTTTAAAAACAAATTTACATTTTAGCAAACAAATTTATATTTTAGGAAACAAATTCACATTTTAAATAAGTTAGATTTTAGGTGAGAGAAAGTTTCATTTTAGAGAAAAAAAATACATTATAGGGAAACAAATTTACATCTAAAAAAAATTGACCGTTCGGAAACACTTGTACAAGTGCAAAGACAAAACTGCAAGCGGCAAAACACAGTTACATAGCCAAAAACAAATTAACAAAAGACGGCTACACGGAAAGGGAATGTCCCAGTGGCCGGATGTGACGTCACGATTACCCTGACTTGTAGTACAAACAGCTCAATCTGTAGTCCTCCTGCTTTACGTGAAAAGTCAGCGGCGATTTCAGCCAATTTACACCATTTTGTTCTTCGTGCGGACGGTCTCTGGAACTTTTACGGGACACGGACCAGGTGGCAGGACCACCGGAACTGCTGCAACGCAGCCACTGAGCTCGGCCCTGCTGTTTGGTCCTGCCACCTGGTCCGTGTCCCGTAAAAGTTCCATAGACCACAATAAGGGCAAAACATTGTTCGGTTAGCATAAACCTAAGAAAAACAGCTTCAGTGCAATTCTTTACATCTAAAATCGCCGCTGTCTTTTAGTAAAGCCGGAGGACTACAGATTGAGCTGTTTGTACTACAAGTCAGGGTAATCGTGACGTCACATCCGGCCACTGGGACATTCCCTTTCCGTGTAGCCGTCTTTTGTTAATTTGTTTTTGGCTATATAACTGTGTTTTGCCGCTTGCAGTTTTTTCTTTGCACTTGTACAAGTGTTTCCGAACGGTCAATTTTTTTTTTAGATGTAAATTTGTTTCCCTATAATGTATTTTTTTTCCCTAAAATGAAACTTTCTCTCACCTAAAATCTAACTCATTTAAAATGTGAATTTGTTTCCTAAAATATAAATTTGTTTGCTAAAATGTAAATTTGTTTTTAAAAATTTTTACTTTTTTTTCAAAAATACATTTGTTTCATAAAATATAATTTTGTTTCTTCAAATGTTATTTTGTTTTTTATTTGTTGATGTGTTTTTGAATTGTAAATGTGTTTTGCACTTCTCAGCCACCGTAGTTTCACGCCTCGAATAAGAAGATGAGCCTTGATCGCGTTTCTCTGTTCCTCTTTTAAAATTAAATTGCTGTCGATATCTTCTAGAACAGACCTAATAGCAGAATCTACTCACCTCAACTCTCCGGCGGCAGCCATTGTTGTTGTCACCCAAGAGCGCTTTGGTCACGTGGTTGATTACGTTACTGTTGATCATCTGTCCATCATAGTATAAAGCCCCGCCCTGACAATTTGATTGGATCGCCTGACAGTGGGCGATAATACTCGCGCTACTATGGAGCAGAGCCAGACCGAACTTCCAGACCTCAAACCTTGTGGGCGGGACTAAGTTCGGAATGGCACCCAGGCTAACTTTTGATTGGCCGATAATGTTTACATACACACAGGATCTCCTTCCATTCAATCAATGCTTCCTTTGTGGCCAAAACAGCTGCAGATATTTTTGGATGTCAGTTTCCACCTGACTTTTAGCAGTGCCAAAAAATTGCAGCTGCAGTTGAGTTCATATTCAAAAAATCTCTTTCCATGTGGTTAATGTTTATGTTGGGATATCCTCTACCCATGAATTTGTGCTGTTTGGTCTTTGAATATGATCTACTTATTGATGAAACTCTTTGTTGACACTGTGTAAAAGTTTAAGGTCTGATAAGCAGCACGACTTTTTCCGACTGACTGAAATAAGACCATTTTCTTTAACTTTAGCAGCTCTGACCAGTAAACATTCTGCAATAAACTCGAGCACTGAATTCAATAACCCCCCCACATTGCTTACAGATGAGGCCTATTCAAATAAACACTAAAAATCATATGCTCACGTTAAAACAAAGCTGTATGCAGTAAAAATCTGTCCTGATAATATATACAAATTTTATTTCAGCTTAATATTAATTTTGCTCCAGGTGTGATCAGCAGACAGAAATGTTTTTCACGAAGCCATCTGTTGGCAGCATGTTTACACCATTCCATCAATGGCAGTTTAACTCCAACATGACTAACAACACCAACCAAGGATGTATTACTATGGCAATACATCCTGTTAAATAGAGCGTGACTAACCATGAGTGCCGCCATGATTTAAAAATGTGTTTTGTTAAATTGCGCTTACATTCCAAATGCAATGAATTGCCCAGCCCTAATTGAAATGTCTAGATCATAAGGTAAACCACCTGTGTTTGGCACTGTCTAGAAACACACAATTAGTCTATGGCAAGTGGGGCAGACTCAGACATACAAAATCAATTAAACATTTAATTAAATAAACATTTGACTTTACAGATGGTGGGAGCTCAGGAGTTTAGAAAAGGATGAAGTCCAATTACTGTAAGCACTATAAGTTCATCCTCAGAAAAATACTTGTAGATCTGAGCAGCAGATACTGTAACTGAGCAAAGAGGTGGGGTGTTTGAACTGAATTCATGGGAAGTTAAGTCAATTCCTGTCAAAACATTCTTGCGCAATGTGCATACTATGCTTTTTTCCCCCCACCTTAATAGTTCCCATGCACAAAAAGTTTAACCAAGCCAAAAACACTTTTGTTTATCAGACTGCACAAAAAGTTAGAGCAAGACTTTAGAACATAAAAGTGAAGCTAAAGGGCACAGCAAAGCAGCTCTGTTTTGTCTATTTTTGAGCTTTCCACTTCTTAAAATGTGAGAACTGTAAACATTGGTAAGGATCTACATTTTCAAGCACATGAGCAATGAAATGTCTAGCATTTAATCCACTATGACCTTTACTACAATACTTTCTCAATTATATAATACTTTCAACAAGGGATTATATGAATGTCATAAATATGATCAGCCATAGGGCAGCTTGACTCATTTAACATTCACTCCTGAGGCTGGTGTGTAAAATCAGCAATTGGCCATAATTGTTTTTTTGATTTTTTGCAGCTGGAGACACAGTAGATGGATTTGATTGTTCTCCATAACAATGACCTGTGATGTATCACAGGTCCTCACAAATCCGTCACATGCTCAATATCAACTGAGTAATTCATAATTATGACTCAACGAAATGGATTCCTGCCACTGTAAGTACTAACTGACCCCTAGTAGCAATCAAACAAATAATACAACACAGCCAGTACGATTCTGTACTGATGACCAAAGCAAAGCAGTGAGAAATCCTCTAGAGTGGTCATTAAGAAATTAATATACTTATTCCTTTAAATGTCAAACATGTTTTCTTTGGTATTTGTAATAACAGTATGTCCGGGAAAGAATATCTTTTAAACTTTTTTATTCTGTTGGCGAAGTTCCACATTCATGCCTGCAAATTTGCTAAAAACAAACCCAATCTCACTGTTTTTAGAGCTTAAGTAAGATGTTTTTTGGACTCTTTAAAAATGTGCACCAACTCTAAAGCTGTGAAAATTACAACCCTAAGTGAATCAATTAATCTGTAAACTGTTTTTTGTTTTTTTTTTCTCTGTCTTTTTTTCTCTTGAAATTCTGGTGATTTGTCATCCTGCACCTCGAGCATATGATTGTTTGCAATTGTATATTCTATACTTGTAAATAAAGTTTATAAAAAAAAGTGGTCATTAAGAAGGTGAGGAGCCAGGCTGCTTGATGTTTGGGGCCATTTTAATTGAAGACAAGAGATTAAGGTTGCGTGAGAGTTAGTTTTTCCAAGTGCAGGTTTGCTGATAGCGCCGAACTCCGGTGATGGACAAAAAACAGATAATTTAAAAGCTTCACAAGAGGTATTTTTCTCAAAACATGGATCAGTTTTATATAAATGGCAACACCTTGCCATAATACTCTTTAATTCCATGGCACAATCTCAATAACAAAAAACTTCACTAAAGTCCATATTTTCTAACCGCTTATCTACATGGTACATGGGAAAAAAGCATTTTCTTTAATTTAAAATTTAAACATTAAGTTTATTAAATGCTACTGTGACTTCAATCAAGTCTATTTTTTGATGAGATAAGAATAATATTTAGATTTTCAACAAAAAATGACAAAAATGTAGGGGGGTCTGACATGAAAAATTTGAATATACAGAAAACAAATTAATGCCCATATTTTAGTGGGGGATCTGTGATCTTTTATGCAGCTTTCTTTTATCAAAGAAACAAACTACAACTGTGTATTAGAAGGATTTCCAACAGAAAACAATGTCTGTTGGTCTAACATGAATTAAAGGTGAATATGTCTGAGCGTAAAATTGAACTTCTGCACCAGCTGTAGTGTGCAGACATAAATATATGTGTGCGTCATCTGCTGGGAGTACTGTTGAACTATCAGAAAGCCGGTGAGGTAGCTACTTAATAGAGTCCGACCATCCTGCAATGCCTCTCAGTAAAGCAACAGTATCCAGACATTACTTGCAGGACAAGGAAAATGAAAATCCACATTCCTACTAAAAGCAAACATTAAGGAAACATCAATGCAAGAAATACTTTAACTGAATAGAGTTTTAAAAAGGCATAGTCATAATTCTCCCACAAAGCACACCTTTTCAAAAAGTTAGAGCGACAGATTGAACAAAACAAAACGATGGACAGGGATGGTCTGATCAGGTTTTATTTCAGGCCGGGAATCAGATACAAAGAGGTTCTAAAAGACCAAGCATTGCAAGGACTTCTCAACAAAAAAAGGCATTTAAATAAAATACTGACATCCTGGTGACTGTGACTTCTGTCACAGTGTCCTGCTAAACTGAAACAATGTCCCACATTTGAATGGGTCGAATTCTGAAAACAAATATTTAACAGGTGCTTTTCTGAAATGTAAAAGAAACAGAACCACAGACATTGTCATAGAGCCGTGCTGTCTGCTGATCAAATACCTCTCTCTCTCACTTGCACGGAAAGCAATGCTAAATGGAAAACAACACCTGCTGCTGGCAAATTGACATGTTTGTCTCCAATAATCCATGTTTCAATGCAATGTCAAAATGTAGAAGATGCAAATATGTGTTTTTGATAACTGGAGCGTGATTCACTTAGGCATATAGTAACAACAATGTTTGCTCTCTCTCACTTGAACGGAAAGCAATGCTAAATGGAAAACAACACCTGCTGCTGAAAAATTGACATGTTTTTCTCCAGTAATCCATGTTTCAACACAATGTCAAAATCTAGGAGGAGAAGATGCAAATATGTGTATTTGATAACTGCAGTGTGATTCACTTAGGTATATAATAACTACAACATTTGCTTGGTGGAGGGTTATTTGGGAATCATGAAGGCTGCCAAGATTTGCAAGTGTGCATATTGCAGATATGACCACATGTGGAGGGAGAAGATGCAGGTAGAGTAGAAGAATAGAGAGGATCTTCTCTGTCAAACCTTTCAAATGATGAAAGATATGACCACAAACATGACAAATTGACTTCTGGATCATTCACTACAGCTGAGTTTAACAAGTGTACATTGGTCAGAGAAAGTTAATTTCCATTTGCAACAATGCATTAGGAGCGGAGGAAAAAGGTCTGCATGGGTCATATTTTTCAAAACTGTGTCTGAATGCCCCGTAGAGTTCAGAACCAAGACCCAACTTACCTGCAACTATCCCCATTTAAAACCCTGGACCACACCGACCCGTAAAAAATAAAGTGCGACCCGACCCATGATCACAAAGTGTACACACAACCGTTTGAGTGCTTAAACACAACATGCTGTATTTTTTCAGCTGCAGCAGAATACTGTCTTAATCACAGAGGCAGTAAAGAGCATTGCCTCACGCACACATCCAGTATGCACTGCGCTATCAGATTAACAGCTGTAAATTGGCTAAAGTAAAAGGTTTGCCTCATTGCTTAGAAAATTACTGTTATCTGAATACTGTTATACCTTATTTATTAACGTGTAGATGTGCTGATAAAGATTCTCAGTCATGCAGGTCAGTCATTCCATAAAAGTTCAAAAAAGAATCCACTGGACTTGGTTTCCAAGGTTAATGTGGTTAAGGTTAAGGTGTAGAGTTAATAAGGAGTATAAGAAAATATAAATAGTAAGCTCTATTCTAGTAAGTTCCATTCATGCAGTAAATCTGCCTTCATTTTGTTCATTTATACCCGAGCCTGCACCCTTTTTATACAGGTATCAGACTTGCTTCAGGACTCTCGCTGCAGGACTCTGGCGCAGGGCTTGGTTTGCTGCATCATTACTGAATTATGAGTGCAAATATGAAAAAGAAAAGCCTAACATTTTTTGGACTGACCTCACTTTAGTTTAGCATATAACAAGTGGTTTTATAAAGCTTTGATAAAATAAATATATCAGAAAAAAAAGTAAACACTTATTGGTATAAAATGACATTAAACAAAAGTTAAGTTTCAGTTTGTGCAAATTAGGAATGCTTCTCTATCAGCATGTACCTGTGCCACTAGACTTGACAAGCTCAATATTACAAAGAGAGATGCATGTAAACACTTACCACCTGGATGCTTTGAAGGTGATGATTCAATGGAGCTCCTAAAAATACAGCTTAAAGGGTGTGGGAGATTGAAATCAGACTCATTAGTCCCTGTCTTTGCTAGAACATTAGCAGAGGGCGAGTCACAGCACAGCTCATCCTGCCATGGGAGGTCCATTGCACGTGAATAAACGGGAACTCCAGGTTCCAAACAATAAACAGCTAAGCACAGGGAGAGAAGAGAATATAAATAGGGTCAAAAGTTAGAATAAAAGTATTAAACAGAAGCTTTTTATATTTTAAATGAGAGAAGGTATTGCAGTAGGAAGCTCAATCTGTCAGGGTTCTGCCCTCGGCTTGGTTTTATTTTTAGTTTCTCTGTGTTCTGTGTCTTGTAGTTTATTTCTACCAGTTCCAAGTTCTTTATTTTACCCTCTGTTGCCTCCTTTTGTTTGTTTTCCTTTCTCTTTGGCTTCTCCTAGTTTGTGTTGCCCACACCTGCTCCCGATCTGCTGATTAGCCTGGCAGTATCCCAATATATACACCACCTTTGCAGTCACTCAGTGCTGGTTTGTTCTTTTGCTGTTCCATCTTCTCTGGCTTCGCACGAGAGTTTTTCCTGACATTTTGTTTTTTTGTATTTTTGTATTTTACCACCTCATTAAATTTGCAAGGCTCAACTCTCCCTCCTGGTCTCTTCATTTGGGTCCTCTAAAACCTCCACTCAACCGTGATACAATCATTCAGTTCTGTTATGTTTTTACATGATGAAGAAAATTCCCCTTAGTAAGCAAAATACTTTTTGAAGAAGGGATGCCCCGAAATGAAAGTTTTTGAATGAAAACCGCAAAAAAAAAATAAAAATATATATATAAGCAAGGCCGAAAACTGAAACACTGCAAGAAATCGATAATCGCCTTATTGGTAGCAAAAAGGATCGCAAATCATTCATAGTATAAGAAAGATTTCTGATACGTTATTCCTTTTTTTATAAAGATTCTGTCATCTGTCTCTGTCATCTGTAACTTTCAGGTAATATTTGCGATCTAGTCTATCGGCTCTAGTCTATTTTTTTTCTATTTTTTACAGCATACTGTATTGTTACAGAGCATTGAAAATGCAATGCTACCCCATGAACTTCTCAGTATACACAATTCTATGGGACAGACAACAACAAAAACATTTATAGATAAATAATAAATGAAATTAAAATCATAACTTTTGTTTCTAAAAAATATTTCCCAGATAAAAATTATGATTACTGCTATAAGTAATTTATGATGTGCATCTAGCAGCTTTGCACTTCTAGACAATAAATAACCTGACACAATTATTCATTTGACTGCCCAATTTAAAATCACAGCATCAGCATAAAACATAATTCTGAATTGTTTGCTTCGTTTCTTACAATCTTATTTTTCCCTTTTCTGTGAATGGTTGCACTGCAACAACAAAAATTCCCAAAAGGGATTAATAAAGTAATTCTTATTCTGATTCATGAATCCCTTGGCAGGATTCAAATGAGCATTTTTATTCTAGATTAATTCCAAGATTAGAGTGAGATTAATCTAGATTTTAAAAATTAATCTATGCTCACCTCTGAATATTAGATTAATCTAGAATTTTTTAAAATATCTATGCTCACCTCTCAATATTAGATTAATCTAGAATTTTTTTTTAAATATCTATGCTCACCTCTCAATATTAGATAAAACTTAAAAAATGTTGAACAGCCTGTTCTGATTTGGTCTGATCAATGCAATGGGTTTTATTTCACTTAGAAACTGTACTGCAAAACTCACCTTGCAGCACCAGGAGCACTTGAGCCTGGACTTTCAACATTATGGACCAAGTCCTGCAATTATCCAAACAAGCAGTAAGGATCAGAAAGTTTAAAAATGCGAGAAAGAACACAAATAAACTGAGATGTAATGTAGAGTAACAAAGCCAGATGTAAAAGTTGAATTAAGTATATAAAAATTAAAAAATGTAACAATTCCTTCCTTGAGAAGGAAAAACAAAGATTTTGAAAGACAATTTAGCCTCTGATAGATAAGTTACTACTCAAGAATAGGTCTCAACAGGAAAACAGAGGCAGCCAGCTTTGTCTACGTGATCACCAATCTACCAGGATATTCACAAAAACGAATTCCTTAGGTGTTGCAATGATTCATTTGATTAAATGTTTATGCAACTGCAACAGCTCATGATTACTATCTTTTCCAACGAAAGCCTGTTTGTCTTCTGGTGTCGGTGTGTGTGCCAGATAATTATATTAGTTAAATATTTTTTAACCCCTTGGTTGATCATGAAGTGGATCGGCTTTTATGGGCTGCAGTGGAATTTAACAAAAGCTCCCAGACGCCCAATTCTGCCGGGAGTGTTTTCAGTTAGACCAGATCAGATCAGGATTGCATCATTGTAGTTATGAAGGTGTATGATTAAATTAGAACAAAAGAACCAGTCAATGGTTTAACCAGCCCACCAGGATCTCCCGTTCCTGTTCTTTATCTACTGTATTCACCATTCATGTTGTTTTACCGTCACAGGTTAGTGAATTTAAATAATTAGTATTTCTTAGTAACCGTTTCAACTTAATGATCTTACTTTTTTAGTGCTCCCAATTAACTCTATGAACATATTTTTTATTATATAAAAGTCCAGAAAATACAATCAAATTATTGCACATCTCTTTTACTTGTAAACTCGATCTGATCCACTTTGCTTTTTATGAACTGATTTCTTGCCTGAACAATCCGCTTGGCTCTAGATTGAAGTGGATCTGAAGCAGGAAGCTACATGAATAGAACAGACAAGTGAGTTAGAAAAGTGGCCAACAGCCACTGTTTTTTAATGCTTCAGAAACACGTCACAGCGCTTTCATTGGAAACGATCTGGTGTACTAGAATTGGTTTTATCAGTCATGACATCATTTTACCAGGAGAGCCGCACCCTGGCACGCAGCCGCTGCTTCCACCTCAGGTGAAACCGAGGGGTAAGAGATATTAAGTTGCTTTAGGCTGCATCTGTTTGCAAAAAGAGATGTCTTAGCATGACCCGTCTATGGTGCTGCACTGAAGGAACTCAACAACACTGTTGAGTGTTACTGTCAGCACATCAATTACTGTTTCCAATTACTGTACATAGACTGTTAGAATCCCATTTTGATCAGGGTAATATGTCTTTCATTTTTTTTTATTTACTTTTATCATCTAACTAGTTTACAAACAAAAAAACATCCTGTCAGCAAGTCGTACAATTAGGAATTTTATTCAAATGCAGTCAGAATTGACGTTCTTCAGTAGCTAAGAGGCAAACTGACCTCCATAAGCTGTGTGATTCGCATGCTATCAAAAATAAAAATAAAAAATTAAGAAAAAATCATAGCGTAAATCTATGAGAAAATGGTCATGAGTAATTTCCAGTTGTGTTTTAACATTATAATTTTGATTAGTCTTTCACATTTAAAGATTCATTGCTATGCAAATACCCTATGGGGGGAGGCTGTGGTGATAATAGCAGCAACATAAATTTCAAATAGAAATTAGCTCAAAAAAACATTGTCATCCTTATTTATTCAAAAAGCTGTATGAAAGAGGTTCAATATATCAAATAATAAAAAAACTATCAACTAAGAGCTATTAGCACAGTGCAATTTAGAACAAAGGACAACCACTGCTTTTGGACATTGTAGCTTCCTGTTAATTCCCCAGTTGTCACCTCCTGCATATTGTTCAAAGAATAATACCAATTGTTTACAGCTGAAAGTATACTGAAAAAAAATGTGGACTACCATTTACTTAGAAAAAGCTAGGTAACTTTTTCCACTTAGAAATTCTTTGTTAATCTCACTTAATAGAATCTAAGTTGGTTTTACTTACTAAGAAGAGTGGATTTAACAAACTCCTGTACATTTTACAGCCAAATTTCTCTCACCAACAAAAGATGTAGTTTAGTTGATAAGAATCTAGAGAAGCAAATTAACCAAATCATGTTTTTGGACCCACGTATGAATGGGGAGAACATGTGAACTCCATGCAGAAATATCCTGGACAGACAATCAAACCAAGAACCTCCTTGCTGCACGACAACAGTGCTACAAACTGTGGCACTATACAGCTGATAACTTAACAATATTTTATATATTTCTGACCTAAACATGGGCAGGTAATGAAAAAAGCACCAAGTTTACTCCTAATTTCCAAGTACATATTAATTGCTTCTGTTAAGTTGGGAACTTATTTAGTTTTGTTAATCACATTTAATAAGATTGATTACATTTACTTGTCTTTTGACGGATATAAATTTACAAATTAATTCTAACACATTAAATATAAGGTGTAATTTTGAAGTAAAGGAAATTAGAGGACATTTTCCTTCAATTGTAACTAAAAACCTAGATACTGTAATATTTCCAGGAACAAAAACACATTTTTTTTCAAGGTATGGTCCAATTAGTAACATGGACTTGAGAAATATCTCTGAGGAAAAGATGGCATTTACAATTAAAGCAAAGAATTCTGCTTTAAGTGACAAACTGTCAACTTCAACACATATCTGTGAAGAATCTCAGTCTTCCAGGTTATGTCTACCTTAAAAATTTCAGTTGAGAGAACGGGACGTGAAATCCACCTTTTGTTTTTGTTTTGTTTTATTCCCCTATTTTTTTTTGTTACGCCTACAGTATATTATTCTCAGTGCTACCCACCATCAGTTAGAACCGAGGAAGCCGCTTGGGTGAAAGGCGAAACGTCTTCTAGAAAACTTTAAATCCAGATGTCTGTGCTAAACTTTCCAAAGTCAACTAGAAAACAGCCTTAGGTCAGAAGCCACCAGACTTTCACTCAGCTTTTCTCAAGGTGTTTCGACACCCATCCAACTGTCAACTATGTCTTTGTAAATTCCGTTGGCTAGCACTAAAGAAATCTGTTTTGTTTAATGTGATGTTTTTAAGCACCACTGAGGCCAATCTTCCTGAGCACAGTCAGATGCAAATCAACAACCCACTTGTCATTCTCCAGGGTTGTTGCGGTCTTTTGTTTTCTATGAGTTTTGTGTTAGCTATTTGAATCATGACAAGTGTTGTCTTTCTTCCCTCTTTCAAACCATCTGTCCTCTCTGTCCAAAAGCTGAACACTTTGATCATCACAGTTCCTGTCCTTTGTTTTTTGAGGTAAAGTGGACCGCTAACTTTTTCCCAGAGCTGCTGGGTCTCTTGTTCTGCAGGATTTGCTTGTGTAGTTGTTTGGTTTCTCCAATATAGGACTCCAAATAGTCCTTACTGCACTGAACAATGCCAAAAAACAAAGTGAGGCAAGTATGGTTTTGTAGCTTCAACTACAGATTGCTCTTGTGCGAACAAACAAAACTGACAAGGACTCATGAACAGGTGTTGAAACGGTTTAGAAAAACTGAGCGAAAGTCCAGTTTGCTGCAATTAACCCTGTTTTGTGACTGCTCTAGCTGTGTACATTCAATGCATTCAAATGGGCACCACTTAGTTGGATTGCTATAAAAATGCTAGCCACAGTATGTCGTTATGAAACATTACACTGCCATTGTTGGTATACATACCCAATTTGATTTTAGTTGTGTGGCACACAAGCCTTTTTTTTCATTGCAGCTGGAGAGGAAATTGGGTTGAGATAGATGGGAAAGATACACAACCCAAGGTCTCCGTGTCTGACTGACGGTGGGATTGAGATCTGATTGACAGCCTGAATCAGAAAAACAGGGTATCAATCTGGGCCAGAATTCTGTTACGCAGACTGAGGCCTGCTGCCCTTTTTGCCTCCACTAAACCAACCTTAAACTCAACACAGTACCCCCTACCCTTAGAAAAACTTTTCCTCCTAACTTTATAAATGCAGACCGATTCTGTATGCTTCTTATACTTTAAGCTAGCAGCCACAATCTTCCTATTTATTTGAAAGAGTCGACCAAAACAAGCAATATAGCATTGGAAACAGTAATGAACTAAGACCCATATGTCTGTTTTCAGACCATATGTTATTATTAGATAATCATGTGCAGATCATCTTGTTCAGCAAGTGCTGAACTTTGGTGTTACAAAAACCTCTATGTCTTTCTTGATAGATTTGTTGACATAAAAGAAGAATAACTGAATGTTTACTAATTAGTCAACAAAGATTATATAAAGAGGGTCACCAACCTAAGAACACTGGAAAAACATAACAAATCTGGACAGAAATTAATGTTTAGATTATGGATAGAACATACATCCATCCATCCATTTTGCGTCACGCTTATCCAAAGCGCAAGGGGTGCTGGTGTCTATCTCCAGCTGTCAATGGGCGACAGGAGAGGATAGGGATAGAACACTGTTTGGTAAATGTTTAAAACCACAGTGTCACTCTTTCGCACCGGATCTCTGGTTCCATTGAAACCCTGCTAATTAGTTAATGTTCTGTTTTGTTATCAATTGTTTATAAATAGTGAAAGAAGGCTTTCATTTTCCACATGGTCCACCATCTGCTAAAAAAGCAGCTTACAGAACTTTCTCTACTCACAGAAAAAATCATATATTTTGTTCTTTATCAAAACTCTACAAAAATATTCTAAACATTGATATTACCACTATGGCAGAGGTGTCCAAGGAGGTCAGCATCAGGAGAAAAAATTAATTCCAGTGGCGGCCCAAAAGAGCCGCACATTTTGTTTCTTAAACTGAAATGAAACTATTCAAATGTCTTTTGTCTTATTTTTTAACTGATTTATTTTCCTTGAAATAAAAGTTTTAGGCATAAAATGTCTCCAGGATCATGAAAGAGGACAGTGTCATTTTCTCTTCTTCTGATCAAGCTTCAAAACATAGTGTCTCAGAATTGTACTTTA